TTTTTTCACAAATACAAAGTTGTTCATGATTGTATTTCAGTCATATAATGTTCCAACATTGGTCCCTTCACCTGTGTACATTTCCCATCACCAATGTCCCCAGTTTACTCCACACACACCACCAAGCCATAGCAGGCTCCCTCTCTCTCACTTGCCCTTCACACCCCCCCATCTCTGTCTTCCCCCTCACTCTCTTTTTCTCCCCCCCCCCATTCTTCCCCCCTCCCTTTTTGTGCATTATGCAATATAGGTACTGAAAAGTGATGTATATCCCTTTACCTCCTTTCAGCTCTCAGTTCTTGTCCAAAGTGATCTTTTCCAACTATTATTGTCTGATCTTTTCCAACTATTATTGTCATAGTTGAACTTTTGCTTCTGAACCACCTTATATTTGAACTTGCTTACAGGCTTGTAACAGAAATACTGTTGCCATTTACAGGGCCAGTCTACATTATTGGCTCAAGCAGTTCTCAGAAGGCCCTAGGCCCCCCAATAGATTCTCAGCCCATTCAGACTAGCAGTTTAATACAAGGATTCAAGGCTATAGTGATGCTCAGGCCATCATATACTTGGGATTGCCTAGACCACCCCAGTGGGCTCAGGGAGGCTCCAGGATTTGTGCACTGCATCCATCTTAACTGCTGTCCTATCTCCTGGCCCATGCACATTAATTTTTTTATCTTGTTTCGTTTAGGGAGCCATACCTGTGATGTTCAGGCATTACTCCTGGTTCTGTGCTTGGGAATCATTCCTAGCTCAGGATGTAGATGTAGGATATAGGTTGCCAGGGATCGAACCTGATTCGGCTGTGTGCAGGACAAGCAACTTACCCTGCTGTACTATCTCTCCAGCCCCTTGCACACTAATTTTTATTTTTAATTAAAAAATGTATAATAGCTTCAATGCAGATAAGCATGCTTAAAGGCTGGAGTGTGTAAACAGGATTTAGAGGTAGGCATTAAGAAAAACGTTTCCCCACAGGGGGATTTCTTTTTTTTTGCTTTTTGTTTTGATTTTTGGTTTTTTTTTTTTTCATGTTTTGTAATTTTGGAAATTTGAACTTACAACCTTGGCAGAATATTCTTACTAAAAGTATCCAGTGCTCTTTCAACTTAATTCAAAAATGTGGACAACCAATACTACTACCATAATTCCTGTGAAATAGTGTAATGATTGAGAAAAGAGGCAAATATTATGACATAGTTTGTTGAAAACACATGGTGAAAGACAAAGGGCCCTAGGAAGAAATAGCAATAAGAGTAGTACACAGGTTGGCGTTAGGAAATGGGATTTTCTTTTTATTCTACTGGAGTATTTGAATTCATAACTAGCATTCTATTATAATGAAAACCCATTTCTTTTCTTACTTTCCTTTATGTTAGAATAACATTTATGTCAGGTACTCAAAGAATATCTTATGATAAAATAAGCTAATATTTTTAATAACATGAATCTGTTGAATTTTCTTGAATGTTAAGTATTTTATTTTAACATTATGCCCATTAAATTATGTAAACTGAAGTATTCTAAGAAATCAAAATGATTCAAAATAATATGTAGTTCACTTTCATTCTCCATTTTTATGAAAACTTGTCTTCCCATATGTCATATCAATCATCTATATGGGCCTCTCCACCAGTATTTGGGAACCCCCCAGGCTATACTCAGTTATGCTCTGGGCCTTCTTGGGGGTATCATAGGTGCTCGGGGTTCAACTAGGGTCCACTGCATTCAGGGCATGCGTTCTGTACTATCTCTTTGACTCTCCCTGTTTCTCTCTGAAATGGGTAATATTATATGTCCAGTAGTGTTTATGATTCATTGCTCTCCTTTTTCACACTAAAATTTAGCCAGTAGTATCCTTTCTAAGCTAGCTTTTTGAGACAACCCCTTTAGCCCCTCCTTTTCTGTCATAGGACAGATGTTGCAGGACCTAAAACGCTTTTTTTTTTTTAAGGAAATAAGATTTGATATAAGAATTGATTTTGACTGGGGGAAGAGGGTAGAGATTGAGAAAAGTATGCAACTAGTTAGTGATATACCACAACGCAATCCCATTGTTGGGCAGTCTCCCAACAATGCTGAGCTGGGAGAAATGAAAATGTATTTAGAGCATTAGGTCTAAAACTGAATATGTGGCATGTACTATCATACAGAGCGTAAAGATCAGTGAGAAAGGTAAAAAGTGTCAGGCTATAAGTCTTTGATTTCATTCTGTATTCAGAATAGTGAAGTAAAATGCCTTGAGGCATCAAAAACTAAGTGTACTATCATAATTCATGACACTATGAGTAAGATAATGCTCAAAAGTTCCCAAACTTATCTGGCCTACGGCCCTTTCTCACCCCTGCACACCCTCCAAATACTAATTCTTCCCGCCCCTCAAAAATCTACCTAGTTTAAGCAAGAAAACAAAGTGTTGTCCATTTGCATTACGCCTCAGTCTGTTACCTCTGCGAAAATCAAAGTTAACTAACTACAGCAGATAGAACAAAAGGTTGGTTGGCACTAACAAGCATGTGAAGTGTAAGCTAGGTGAAGGAAGAAGAAAGAGCCATTTTATTTGGAAGAATCCTTTACCAGTATGATGTCAGCAGTAACCTTCTGAGGTTCCATCTGGTAGAACTGTATTAGTAAGTGATTGAGCAATATTTATGAACTAGAGATTTTGTTGTCATTGGACAGTAACATGATTTTGGCTCTAAAATTATGAGTTAATGCATTTTGATCTGCATTTAAAGTTATGGAATTTTTTCTTTTTTTTTTTCAATTTTTATTAGTGAAACACCATGAGGTATAGTTGTAGACTTATAAATTTTTGTGCTTGGGTTTCAATTAGACAATGTTCAAGTACCATCCCTCCACCAGTGCCCGTTTTCCACCACCACGGATCCCAGTATCCCTCCCACCCCCCATCCCCCCCATCCCACCCTTCCTCTGTGCCAGGGCATTCCCTTTTGTTCTCTCTCTCATATTAGGTGTTGTGGTTTGCAAAAGAGGCAATGGGTGACAATCATGTTTGGTCTATAGTCTACTTTCAGCATGCTTCTCCCATCCTGGGAGGATCCTCCTAACACCTAAAGTTATGGAATTTTTGAACTTACTCTTCACTTTGGTTTGTTGGTGGTGGTGGTGCTGTTTATGATTGTTTTTGATGGGACCTTCCCAAGGCGTGCCCAGATGTGCATGGGCCATGCATTGCAGTGCTTGGGGAACCCTGTCATTCCCCGAATCAGATCTGGGTCCTCGTGCCCACCAGATGTTCACTCCAGCCCTTTGAGTATCTTCCTAGCCCTCTGTTTATGTTAGAAAAGACCTGTCTTGAAATTTATCAGTACTTATATTCCTGAAAAAAAAAAAAATTTAAATACCAGAATTAGTTGTTGCTTATAAAGAAAGGTAAGTATTGCTGTTTGTTTAGTCATTTCACAATTGAATCTTATATGGTAGAAAAGGCACAGTATAAAATTACCATATAAGCATTAACTGATACCTTTTCTTGCACATATATTTAATTATGGTATATTCTGAAACCATCCTCATTTCCTTGGTAGAAGACACATCAAATGCGAATTCTTTTAAAGGAATACATAGTTGTACAATATCAGTAAAGCCATGTAACATTTTCAGTCATTTTCTTTATGTTTCTCTCAACCTTCCTGGTTTTTAATTTTCTGAAACTCACTATGGATTCTTTACACAATGAAAAAGTATTTTGTGCTTCAGATTTTTTTAATCAAGTATTTTTCTGTGAACCTCTATAGTTCTCTATAATAAACTGATGAATTTGCCAGTGTCTGCATGTCATTAAAATGATTCTCTAAATTTAAATTGTTAATAATTTTAATAATTTATTTCAATGAAATATTTTCATTATCTTTTCTTGTTTTGGGGGGGCCACACCTGGCAGTGCTCAGGGTTTATTTCTGGCTCTGCACTTAATTAACTGGTCACTCCAGGTGATGCTGACCATCTGGAGTGCCACATGTAAGACAAACACCTTTTCCACTCTACTGTTTTGTTAGCTCCATATATTTTTCTTATTTCTTTATTGCTGGGGTTTTACAGCAAATTTAATTTTTTGCCTTACATAGAATCTGCACGGCAAAGCCTGGCAAGCTACCCGTGGTGTATTCGATATGCCAAAAGCAGTAACAAGTCTCACAATGGAAACACTACTGGTGCCACTTGAGCAAATCAATTAACAACAGGAGGACAGTACTACAGTGCTACATATAGAATCTGAAGATTGTCACAAGAGGATTAACTTGTGAATTTATTTTGTTGTGGCTTTTATTGTAGTGTGATTATTTCTTACTGCAATACGGGTTCTTTCAAAAATTAAGGGGTTTCTCTAAAAATTAAGAACTTAATTTTTATTAAGTTCCAGATTTATTAGGAGCAAAATAAGTGAGAGAATTGAACTAGTCATTATCACCGGTTAAAATTAGACTCATAGGGATAGACATAGAAAGATTGCATTCATCTGGGGGATATAAAGTAACAAAGTATGAGATTAATACCCAAGAATAGCTGAGATCAGCACCAGGAGGATTACTCCATAACTTAGAGGCCAGCCAGGTATCCTAGAGGAAAGGGCAGTTCAGATAGAGAAGGGAGCACCAAATAAAGTATGTTTGGAGGATCCTCCCAGGAGGGGAGATGCATGTTGAAAGTAGACTATGGACTGAACATGTTTGCCACTCAATGCCTCTTTTGCAGACCACAACACCCAAAAGGAGAGAGAGAACACAGGAGATTGCCCTGCCACAGAGACAGGGGGGATGGGGGGATGGGGGTGGGAGGGATATTATCCATGGTGGTGGAAAATGGGCACTGGTGGAGGGATGGGTATCTGATCATTGTATAATTGAAACCAAAGCACAAAATATTGTAAATCTACAACTTTAAAAAAAAAATAAAATAACGGGGAAAAAAAAAAAAAAAAAAAACAAAAAAAAAAAATTAGACTCATAAATAAAATTGTTTTTTATTTATAGGAATTGAAGCCTGATATGGTAACTAGATCTGCGCTTGGTGATGATATCAACTTTGAAAAAATCTGCAAAAAGGTAGATCTACAGTAGATTCTTACGTTTTATTAAAGTTTCTTCCTTATTGTTCACATACATTTGTTTTGAAAAGAAGCTTACTAAGAAACCAGTTTCTTAGTAAATATATACTGATTTTCCTTTTTTGGGCTTTTTAGTTTTAACAGTATTTTTATTGCAATCTCTAAATTTGCTTTGTTATGATATCAGACCTTTGTGGTCGTTAAAAATATGTGGAACTTTGGTATTCATGTGTTGGATAATGATTAGTTTGTCAGTCTTCCTAAATAAAATAAGAATCCTTGTTTTCTGTCAAATAAAATTCTAACTGCATTGGCCTTAATTAGACTTACATCTCCTATTTTTATTTTTAATTTTACAAATGAGGAAGCTGAAACTCAGAAATAACAAAATGAACTAAAGAACTTCTATATTCACTGAGTCCCATTAAAGCTTTCTACCCAGATCCTTTGTTCATTAGATTTGTCCCCTCTGCCCACTCCTTATCACTTTACTTTTTACGTTTTCATCTATTGACCAATTACTGTAAGATAGTTCCACAGTCCATAGGTTCTGAATTAATGAGTTTTCTATTTTTTACTTTCAGTAAAAGTTACTTTTAGACATTCGCCCTAATTTCTGTTTATTCTTACATTTTTGTTTACTTTGTTTTTTCCTGGTTTCTTCATTTAAAAGCATAAATTACTGATTTTGAATTTTTCACATATTTGTGAAACTATATGGTACCCTGGGGGCTACACCTGATGATCTTTGGCTCAGTATTGCCGTATAATCAGTGCTTGAACTTGGACTGTCAATGCCTTGCTGTTGGGGCCTGGTGATACTGGAAACCACTACAAAGGCTACTCAAGTAGAGCTGGGGATGAGGAGGCCATGTTACTCCAAGGATCAAACTCAGGGATGACTTGAGTATGAAAGCCATGTATTCCAACTCTTGAACTATCTCAGCAGTCCAGTTAAATTGTAGCTTTTATACCTTTATTCTAATGTAGACATTTAATGCTGTACATTTCCCTTTAAACCGCATTTTAACTGCATCCTATATGTGTGATATGTTCTCTTTTTTTTTTAGTTACAAACGTTTTAAATTTCACTTCAAGCTTTCTTTGACCTATTGTTTAGGTAGAAGTTTACATTTTTAACAGTTTTTTTTGGGGGGTATATGTCTTTTACTACTATTTTATGGCCATAAACATTTTTAATGATTTTTCTTTTAAACTTTGTTAATATTTGTATTATGATCCAGAATATGGCTTATCTTGAGAAATACTTCATATACACTTAATAACATTTATTGGAATCATTGCCCTGTGTCAGTTAGGACAAAGTGGTTGATGGTGCTGTTCAGGTGATTTATATCTTCACCAATTTTTTGTATGCTTCATTGATAAGTGATGTATGTTAGATTCTTCATCTGTTAATTTCAATTTACCGCCAGCCTTCAGGAAAGCATTGCTCTTATTCTGCATTTATATAGATTAACTTCCACTTGTCCTTAGTTAAATTCTGTGCACTTGTCGGGTAGCGGGAGGCTCACCCACTGGTCTTCAGGGGCTATACCTGTCTCTGTCCTCAGGAGTGACACCTGGCCATGCTTGCAGGATCATACATGGTGTAGGTGGGATCTCACACCAGCATCCGCTGCATTGCCAGACAAGCTCCGTAACTACTGCATTATCTCTGTAGCCCAATACACTTAAATTTTTTTTTTAATTTTTATTAGTGAAACACCATGAAATTTTAAAGCATCTTATTGTTAAAAGACCAGAAGTATGAAAGATTTCTGGTTATTTGGAAGGAGAGGATTTTGGGCTGTCTGTGTTCTAATCAGAAATGTACCATCAATGTCATGAGTATGGATTTATAGCAAACTCTTTATTTTAAGTTTTAAATTTGTGGTTTGGTCTATATCTAAGACAAATGATAGAGTGTTAGACATAATAGCGTTAAGTCTGAAAAAACAATGGCAAGGTATTTTTGTTTTCTCTTGAGAGTTTCAAAAATAAAAAAAAATTGAGATTTTTTTAGAAAAAAATTTTTTACTTTCTGGTTGCTAAATTCGAATGGTATTTCATTAATGTTTAATTTGTGGTGAGGGTAAAAAGTAATTTATTTCCAGTTCCCTAATAATATTATGTTTCCATTTAAATTCTGAGAGTAAGACTTAGAAATATTTATTTCTTAACTTGAAGTTGAAAATGTCCAAAGTAAAACATCACATGTCTAGTTTTCTTGTGTTCTTTTTCAATCCCTTCTCAGCCAGATTGTTTTTAGTTTGGATATTTAGAGTGTGTGTGTGTGTGTGTGTGTGTGTGTATGCCCATGTGCATGCGCATGTGCGCGTGCACACACGTACCATATATACATATATTGTGTAACAGCTGTTTTTAGAAAATCTATTTTGCACTTCTTATAAAACTTCAGTCTGGGAAAATGTCATTTATTCTGAAAAATGGGAATGTAAATGGCTATATTATGTTGTTACCATCGTTATTTTGTAGTCGCATACTCATTTGATTTATGATTAGTAATGCGCTAGATTGTTTAGGATCTTGTTGAAATATTGTCAAGTGAAATCTGATTACTTTGATCTTCCTCCAAATTAAAGGAAGGAAAGGAAGATGGAGAGGGAGGAAAGGAAAACAGTTCTGTTTCATGAAAGTTATTGATGCAACCTTTGGATTTAAAGCCAAGAGAAACTGCCCTTCCTATGAATCATTAAACTCTTCTCAAGCTATTTGATTTCAGCTATGTTATTACTGTTTATTTCATTTATGATAACCGTATTAAGTGTATTAATTAACAAAACCTCTAAAGTAAAAATAAGGAAGACAGCTGACTGTCCTGGGGGAAGAACTGGATATTTTTTAGTTTGTTATTAGTGAGAGCTTTGTGGATGATACCCAGATAGGTAATGCATCAGCTGCATAGAGCTATGAGCAGTTGAGCTCTCTGACTATTGAGAATAGAGCAGAATAAAAAATATTTGTGTATCTTCTGAACTATTGGAGGTAAATTTGTGACCCAGTTTGTAGTCCCTCCCAATCCTTTTTGGAACCAACTTACATAGAAACATTCAAAAGAAGCTTCAAAAATAAGTAGACTCCGTTCAAAACTACAGCAGTGTTTGGTTCTTTCTCATTTTAAGATGTCAGTATTTGCCTAAGACAATGGGCTTAAATTCCTGAGAGTAAGTAGAATGGCCTCTTTTGTAAGGCTTCAGTTCCTTTATTGCTTGCTATTAGTCTCCTGTCCATTTTCTTTCCTCATTTCCTTTCTCTCTAGGTTTACTTAGCCCTCCCTATGCGAAAATATGGATTTTTATACAGGAGGGCTCCAACACAATAACTAAATTCAAGGAAAAATATGATCAACTTTATAGGAGAAAGAAAATATTATAAAGGATTTTATTGATGGAATTTATAGATGGAGTTTATAGGTGGCATTTTAAATACAATCATATCTTAAATGTAAGGAAATTCACTTTGAAGCTTACACGGCTAAGTAGTCTCTAGAAACATGGTTTTCACACCTGCATGAAACTGTCTTCAGAATATTGGGGATAAAAAGGTATCCACCACTTTCCTTATTTAAAGCTGACACAGTGTTTGCCATGGAAAATTCTCAGGAAACTGTGGTTTTCACACACCTCCAGTTTCTTCCATTTCAAATAAATTAAATAAAAAAGGAAAAACACCTCATCTTTTAATGGAAAAAATTTATTTTGGCATATGCGTATTTATTGTGAGCACAAGGCTCTTGGTGTTCAATTTTGAAAAGAATTTTGAGAATGTACATGTGAATATAAACAACAGTCTAAAAATGAAAATGCTCAATTAAATGTGATGTTCATTCCTTTGAAATGCTGCCTAAAATGGGCTCCTATGAACCAGCAGCAGAACGTTAGAAGAAATACTTTGTACTAATTGAACTTCCAATTCTAGGTTTTATGCAAATATAAACACATTCCCATTTAGTATTTATTAAAAACCATGAGATATAGGAAACAGTCCATTTAGCTAGACCAGAAGAACTGAGACTTAGAGACAGCATTTGAGAATAGGGCAGTTCTCTGAATTTATTGAACTCTTAAAATTCTTATGATTGCATGATTCTGAAGTGTAGTCAAGAATACTAGACTTATTTAATAACCCTAAGTATTGGTTCTGACTTTTTCTGTGTAATCTTGAAATCAAGACTCCTAGTCTGATAGTTATATGAACAGATTGGGCTGCATTCCCTGTATCTCTTGTTAAAATTTAAATTTTAAAACTTAAAGATTTCAAATTGCTTTTCAGATTTTAATTGTTTTTAGATAAGTCCTAAGTGCTTTTAAATTTAAAAAGTTTAGTAATTGTTGTAATACATATGTTTTTGTATTTTAAATTTTCTATCAAACATTTCAAGAACATATATTAACACTTGGTGTAGGTCTTTTAAAAATTAAAAATTGGGGTTGGCATGATAGTACAGCTGGTACCAGCTCTTGCCTGACATGAAGCTGACCCAGGTTCAATCTCTGACAGTACGTATGGCTCCCACAAGCCCCACTAGGAATGATCCCAAGAGTGCAGAGTCAGGAATAGGCCCTGAGCACTGCTGGGTATAGCCCAAAAATGAACAAAAAATATATGTTTAGTATTTATACTAAGTAGCTACATCAGTTAATGGGGTCAATCCACAATACCACATGGCCCCTGAGAACCTTAAGTGCAACCCAGATGACCACTGAATTCACTGGATATGGCCCTCATCACTCTATTGATCACTGATCCATCAGACCTACACTTTCTGGGAATGGCCTTGCTTTTCCCTAGCACTAGGGATGTCCCTTTTTTAAAAAGATCAAAACCAAAACCAGTTACTACAGCAGTACTGATAGATTTTTTGAAAATTTATGTATTTACTGTATGTGTATATACATGGACTCAAGAGACTGCTCAGTGACTTGAGTGCTTGCAAAACAGATTTGACATGACACTGCATGGTCCTCTTAAGCACAGAACTGGGAGTATTCTTCATGCATTGCTAAGTATGGCTGAAGTGTGTGTGTGTGTGTGTGTGTGTGTGTGTGTGTGTGTGTGTGTGTGTAGGGGCGGAGGTGGGAGTGTTGGGTTCTAAATGTCTGATAAATTACTTAAAACATGTTGTTGGCAGTCTTAAATTATATCAACAGTTTATTGCTGATATTCCTTCATAGTAATCAAGTCTTCTTAAATCCTTCTTTTAAGGTCTTTGAAAGCAGGAGTTACATTACATTTTTAGTTATCACACATAGTATGTGCCACAATTCAGAAAAGATACTAAGTATCCAAAGAATACTATTTATTAATTGATTAAGTGAAAATTTTAATTGTTTAGGAGCATTATATGTTAACATGATTTTTATTTCTCTTTACCAGCTGAATTATCCAACAAGAATAAATTTCTATCCCTAACTGTAATTTTTTAAAAGTTTAAATACCTCCTTTTACTGACTTTTATGTTAATATTGCCATTTTATTTTTATTCCCATGTGTTGTTTCACTTGCAGCCTGATTCTACTGCAACGGAAAGAGCAATTGCCAGATTAGCAGTGCACCCTCTTCTGAAGAAAAAAATAGATGTGCTAAAAGGTATAAATTCAGTAATTTTTAATTTAACAGAGAATGTTTTTCTTTCTACTTATTTATTTATTTTTGGGTTTCATTTGGGGCCATACTTGGTCATGCTTAGGCACTTTTCCTGGTCTTTGGGCAAGACTGATCAAAATTAAGGTCACCATATGTGATGCCAGGGATCTGAACCAGGATCACAGCCATCACATGCAAAGCAAGCACCTGACCTCGTGTACTCAGTCTCTTCCTGGTCCTGAGTTTTAACATGTACTTACGTACATTTGCATGTTTATAGTTTTTTATGTTTATTCATTTTTTTGTTTGAGTATTATTGAGGATATTTTGTTAGTTAATGTAAATTTGTCTTTCAAATATTTCCAAACATGAGAAGGTGCCTGAAAATGTGGAAGCCATCTGATATCTAGAAAAAGAAAAAAAATAATATTTTTTTCTAAATTTCAGTGTAATCATAGTTAATCCCTGTTTATAGAAACATGGCTATAATTGATTTTCCAGGTATCAGTATATTGCATATTCGTTTTTAATGTCACTTAAAGAGATAATTTTCAATTACATATTTAAAGTGCTTTTTTAAAATTGAACTTTTGTCACAAATTGAAAGATACATATGACTCAAAGAATAATATATAGTTCTCTTTAATTGTTGAAATTCATTATTCCTACAGATAAACTTAAATTTTTTGAGTATGATTTTTTTTGGTGTTCATCACAATTCAAAGACATAAATGAATTACTTTCTTGGGTTTGGGTTGGCTATATGCATTTGCCTAGCATACACCCAACCCGAGTTCCATGTCCAGCATAACATATGGTACCCAAGCCCGACCAGGAGTGATCCCCGAATCCAGATCTAGGAGAAAGCCTTGAGCACTGTCTGGTGTGGTACAGAAACCAAAAGGGGGTGGAAGGGGAAAAAGGGAGATGCGATGGGAAAGGTGGGAATGACTTTCTTTTATTTTGATTATTTATATTGGGTATTAGAGTCAAATGATATGTTTTTTGAAGTCATCAGATCCATTATACATACTTGATATAAATTCAGTTTGTCCTAAGTGTTTCTAAATACTTATAAAAACATTAAAACAGTAATGTTTTATATTATTTATTTTGTTGCTGAAAACAGTCGTGTGTCTTTCTCTTGCAGCTGCTGTAAAAGCCTTTAAAGATGCAAGACATAATGAAGTCAAATCATCAAAGAATGCATCAGAAGAGAATCATTCCAAGGACACTTTGTGTTCAGATAATGCCAGTAAGTTACAGCATGAAGGAACTATTACCAGTGAGCAAAAGGAGAAAGAAGCCAAAATTCTGGCAAAGAAACCATTAAATAATTCAAAAGAAAAAATAGTAGCCAAGATAAAACAGGGACCCAAAGCAATAGACATGCCAAAATCACCATCAAATCCATCTGTAAAGAATTCCGCAGTTCCCTCAGGACACCCAAAGATAACTGCAAACCCCAAAATGAAAACATTAAGTCAAACCCCGAAAAAGAATGAGTCTGATAGCTCACTCGATGGTGACAGTGATGGAGAAGAATTAGATGAAGAAGAGAAAGAATATTTTGATGATAGCACAGAAGAAAGGTTTTATAAACAGTCTTCCATGTCTGAGGATAGTGATTCTGGTGATGACTTCTTCATTGGGAAAGTCAGGCGGACAAGAAAGAAAGAAAGTAATTCTCAGTCATCTGTCAAGGAGCCAAAAACGCACCCCAATTTATTACCTGAAGAAAATATACTTGGTACCCATCAGGATTTTAGAAATGACTTAAACAAGTCAAATACAGAAGTAAGGAAGTTCGAATCAGTGTTTTTCCATTCTTTATCTGGAACTGAAAACTCTCGAAGGTAAGAAATTTTTCTATTCTGAAATAGTTGTTCTGAACTTTTTAAAGATAGGGGAAGTATATACTCTAAAAGAAAAGAGGCTGTTACTCTTGTGTGTTTTCAACATTGTAATACATTATAATGCTTGGCCATCTCCATCTTTACATTGGGATAAAATAAACTAATATATGTATGGCAACAGGCAATGCTTATTCGGCTCCATCAGAAAATGGAGATGTTTAATAAATTTAAGGTCATCTTCAGTTGTCAAATGTTAAAGCTTTGCGTTAGCTTTTGATGAAAAATATTTGGAAATATTTCACATCTTTTGGGGTCTTTTTTTGTTAAATTTTCCTTTCATTTTTGTCATTATAATGACAAAGGGGTTGATTGTGGTTCTCACACACTTAGTTTTGGAGCTCATTTGGGTTGCAGACTTTGCTTGTGGTACTTGCACTCACGTGGCTCCAATGTGCCAGGGATCATATACTTTGTTATAGCACAAGGGATCCCAAATGGCAGTGCTGCAGGAATTGCACCTGGCATGTCGGGTGGGGGATCAACTTGTGGACTCATGCCTGCAGCATAGATGATTAAATGCTGTCACACCCCCACATCCCTGTCTCTTTAAACTGAACTTTCTAAAATGAATAAAATGAGGTGGGTTTTTTTTCTTGATAACCCAGTACTATATTGTAAACATCAGTCAATTACAATATGTTTTCCTGTTTAGGTATAGAAGGCTGCTTGCCTTGCCACTGGGTTTCTCCATGCTGCTTTATATTTGATGGTGGTGCTATCTTTTTCCCTGCTATTAATCACCACTTTCCACAGCTGTTCTAAATTTGAATGTATTTGTAATTCTTGTATAATCGGGAATAATCTTCATGATTTAAGATCTTCCATAACAGCTATTTACTTCATTAAACTTTTTCATTTATAGGTCAGATAGGTTATGAATAAGGGAGAAAAGAAAAATGTGATGTTGAAATTTCCGAAGAAGATATAGGAAAAACAGTCATTTGGGGAACCTTGAAAATAATTTGAGTATTAGCTCTACCTCCCCAACCTGCTGCAAAGGGCTACCCTTGTTCGTACTGAAAAATGGTGATACACTAGTGGGACCAGAGATGTGACTTAAGAGGCCATAAATTCAGTCTCTCTGACACCACATGGTACCCCAAGCCAGGTGACCCTGATAATCTAGGCCTTGTAGCCCCTAAAACAATGTATAAGTACTAACAATCACTATTCTTTCTTTCTCCCAGAAAAATATAAGTTAGTTATTGTTATATTTGGCTTATTTAACTTGTGGTAAGACTTAACATTCTTCAGTAGCTAGATCTTAAAAGTAGATACAAGGTAGCTAAAACAAACTTACGACCAAAACCTTCTAGTGAAATGGAAATTTCCCTGTACATATATTCTGTCATATTACTGGGGTATTTGATATAAAGTTTTGGATTTTCATGTTTTTTTTTTTAATGTGTGTTTTTGCTAGTGGTATGAGAGACTATACTGGTTCTTTCAGTAAGTTTTATTACCAGTTTTGTTGCACTGTTGCTTCTTACGGTTGGAGCAATAGCACAGCAGGTAGAGCGTTTGCCTAACATGTGGCTGGCCCGGGTTCGACTCCTCCACCCCTCTCGGAGAGCCCGGCTAGCTACTGAGAGTATCTCGCCTGCACAGCAAAGCCTGGCAGGCTCCCCGTGACGTATTTGATATGCCAAAAACAGTAACAGCAAGTCTCACAATTTGTTGTGAGACGTTACTGGTGCCCACTCAGTAAAATTGATGAACAGTGGGAGGACAGTGCTGCAGTGCTATATTGCTTCTTACAGCCAGGGGATTTATTTCTCTTTTAAAGGTTCTAATGTTATTTTTCTTTTTTAGAAATCACAGAGAACAGGCTCCCAAAAGCACAGCCCCAGGTATGTATTTATTAGTGGTTGCTGACTTCCATATGCTGAGCAATGATTTGTCAGAGTAAAAGGATTAACACTGCTGATCACTTAATATCTTGAATTAATTATGCATTGAGAAGCAGAAACAGCATCTTTATAATTATCAATATTGTTTTTATTTTAATAATTTCCCTGCCTTCCCAATCGTGCCAGGGGAGAGTTATAACAAAAGGTATCAAGAAAAATTGACTTTACTTGTTTGGAACTAAATCAGTGATCTCTTCATATTTTATTATATCTTAGTTAACTCCATGCCATTAAAAATTCAGTCACAGTATATTGATTTCGGACTTAAAAGTATTTACTTAGATCACTTCATAACAAAATTGAGCTTAGATTAATAGAAAAATGTTTCTTGCTCATACCAAAGTGCACTGGGACTTGACAGAGGGGCTCCATTTCACAGTCACTCAAGGATCATGCTTTATTCATCTGTTGATTCTTTGGTCCTCTGGTTCCCAGATATTCTCCAGAAGGAACTGGAGTATAGTAGTCCCTCTGAACTGTTTTGCTTTCCATATTTCAATTTTCTTTGGTCAACGTGATCCAGAATTATTTTGTACCATTAGACCATTTTCGTAGAGATGTTTACAAAACTTATTGCTATTTGTTTTATTTTCTACTGTCATTTAATATCTTATTGTTTGATTTATAAATTAAACTTCATCCTAAGAACATAAGTGTATACAGAAAAAAATGGGTTAAAACTAAAAGGTTACACTGCTCTCACAGTGATTCAATAAATAAAATTATTTAAAAAATAAAAAAAAAGTAAGATGGAGTTCATGCACAATTCAATCAGCTAATCAGTGGCTGAATAAGTAGCAGTACTCCTACATTTAAAAAAAAAACTAAAAGGTTACAGACAGTTTCAGGTATCCATCGAAGATCCTGACGTGTATACCACTGATCAGGGGAGACAACCATATGTGTATAATTTTGAAAGTGGAAAGAAATGAATATTCATATTTAATGTGTCAGATTTTCATTGTATAATCCCATTTTAGCGCAAGAGAGCTAGAAAATACAATCAGATTGTGTTCTTAGGAGGACAAAGAAAGTACGAAGACACATAACTGCTGTAGACCATCCTTTCAGTTACCAGAGTCTCTTTACACTTTTTCCACACAAGACACCCTTGGTCCTTCCCAAAGTGTCTGGTCACTGAATCCATCTCCAAATCCAAGGTCCCAGATCTTTCCATCAAGTCTCAGAAATGTGATTGCTCAAATTTTAGTGTCCTGCACATACAAAAAAAGACAAAACTGCTGTTCCAAAATCATGCCACGTGTTCAGTGGCAGAGCAGAGACTAAGGAACTCCACTTAAAAAAAACCCTCCATCACATAAGAAAAGTGGAAGCCATACCACATGTCTTCTACAGAAGTAATAATTTGAAAGATCTGAGAGGAACGTCCTTATCCAGTGTTTTCTATAGAACCTGGCTGTGTTCTTGCTTCCATGGCCACATTTGGTAAAAGGTCCTCAGGGTTTGTTCCAACCAATTGGCAAAAATACCAGGTTACGAAAACAGAAGCCATAACAGTCACGTTTTGTTTTCTTAGCCTGAGCTTACAATTTCTTTCACAATACAATTCCTTCAGTAATTTAGTGGATTTCTGAGTCTGTTTTCAATTACTACAGCCTGAAAATTCTCTCCTCCATCCATTCTCATCTTGTCTTATGTATATTTGGGGAATGTATTTAGAACTGATCCTCAATAACCTTTATTATTTCTTAGGGGCTGTGGTATAATACAGTGGATAGGGTGCTTGCCTTACACACAACCTACCAGGTTCAGTTCCTGGCACTGCATGTGGTTCCCTTCCCCCCCCCTTCCTCGCAGGCCCCACCAGGAATGGCCTAAAAACAAAACAGAAATCTTAGTCTTTTATTGTTGTGAGTTCAAAGGCTTTTCTGAACCTTTTGTTGCCCCAAATATCTGAATTCTTAGTTCCCCCAAATATATAAATTCTTTGTGCCCTCTACTTTACTTTATAAGCTAATTAATTAGTAATTTCCAAAATACTTGTTTGCCAGAGAGACATTGTGTTGAGCCATTTTTATTCTTTCCAGCCACTTAACTCTAGTGCAACAGACGCCTTACAAATAACCTGCTTCTCAAATTTTACTGGCAGCAGTGTTACGTATTTTAATTCTTCAACCAATAGGGTGCTCACTTTAGTAGCCTCAGATACCCATTTTCTTAACTACTGCTGAAGTCAGTGACAACTTTTGTCATTTTATTGGTTAAGATCACTACTTCGGAGTACCAGTTTCAGTAGTATCCTTGGTAGACTATCCGTTGTAACAAATAACTACCAGATTTTAATGATTTATTTTGAAGTCTCTCTGCTCCTCAGTCTCCTTCCATCTTCCCTATCTGTCCCAGGCCATGAAGGAATTCCCTTTGCTTACTTGGTGGGAGAGAGAAAGCAAATGATTAAATGTGAGGTTATTTTTTATGGATCAGGCCTTTTTCTCACATTCCATTGGTCTCTCCTGAGTGTGGCAGAATGGGAAATACTGTGTGCACAGGGAAAGAAAACAACTGGGTTTAGCAAAATGTGTGGTAACCTACCTCATTTATTGTATGTTCCCAGTGGCTCTCTGTAAGCTTAAGTTACTCCCAATTTCCCCAGTAAGATAACTAAGGAAAAGATGTTTTAGTTTGTTTTTGCTTAGCTTATATATTACATATATGAAATTATTTTTTAGCTATATGATGTATTTTAGTTTGATATATTATTCAGATCTATTTTCTTGAAGTAGTTACAATCTAAGCTTTAGCACAAAAGTCACTTGTTGAATAGTTAACATAGATTTATCCTAGAACCTTTGTGATTTTTTTTTTAATTTATTTATTGAATCACTGTGGGAAAGGCTACAAAGCTCTCAGGTTTATGTCTCAGTCATGCAAATATCAAACACATTTCCCTTTACCAATACTTATTTTTTACCATGAAGAACCCCAATAAAACCCCACGCCCCACCCCTCCCCGTCCCTGTGAGGCAGATGAATTCTAGTTAACACTCTATCTGCTTTGATTAGATTCATTGTTTCAATAAAAGATTCACCACTATTATTTAGAGTTTACCCCCCCCCCCCCCCCCCACAAATCAGACATGCTGAAAAAGCATTGTGAAGTGATTTGCTTTCTACAGCTGGGTTCAAGGATTAAATGTTGGTTTTGGATTTCTGCTATTTTACCTATTGACCCTGGAAGTGTTTCTACTGAAAGTCAGATAGTTAAGAAATTGGTCTCTGTGCACTGGAGACGTGGCCGTGCTGGAGAGCCGCTTGCGGGGGGCAACCGGTGGCCTCGGTAGGGCGTGAAGGGCGGACCGGAATGCCCCCCGACCCATGAGGTTTTAGTCGCCCCCACTCCCCCGGCTCATACCTGCTGTCCACAAGGCTCCCATGTGGCCGCCATCTTTCTTTCCAGAGGGAGGAGGGCGGAAGGGAGCAACACCCTTTCCCCTCTGGGCAGAAATGATTGCCTGGATTAACGCATAGTCCTTTCACTTTTTTGCTCCAAGCTGCTGGGTTCTGCATTAGGTCATTGTGCTTCTGGGGCTGTGGCCGTGCTGGAGAGCCGCTCGTGGGGGCAACTGGTGGCCTCGGTAGGGCGTGAAGGGCGGACCGAAACGCCCCCCTTCCCATGAGGCCCTAGTCGCCCCCACACTCCCGGCTCATACCTGCTGTCCACAAGGCTCCCATGTGGCCGCCATCTTTCTTTCCAGAGAGGAGAGGGCGAATGGGGCAACACCCTTTCCCCTCCGGCAGACTTGATGGCCTGGATCAATGCATAGTCCGTTCACTTTTCTGCTCCAAGCTGCTGGGCTCTGCATCAAGTCCTTGTGCTTCTGGGGCCGTGGCTGTGCTGGAGAGCCGCTCGTGGGGGGCAACTGGTGACCTCGGTAGGGCGTGAAGGACAGACTGGAACGCCCCCCTTCCCATGAGGTTTTAGTCGCCCCCACACCCCCGGCTCATACCTGCTGTCCACAAGGCTCCCATGTGGCCGCCATCTTTCTTTCCAGAGGGAGGAGGGTGGAAGGGAGCAACACCCTTTCCCCTCTGGGCAGAAATGATTGCCTGGATTAACGCATAGTCCTTTCACTTTTCTGCTCCAAGCTGCTGGGTTCTGCATTAAGCCCTTGTGCTTCTGGGGCTGTGGCCGTGCTGGAGAGCCGCTCGTGGGGGGCAACTGGTGACCTCGGTAGGGCGTGAAGGACGGACCAAAACGCCCCCCTTCCCATGAGGTTTTAGTCGCCCCCACATTCCCGGCTCATACCTGCTGTCCACAAGGCTCCCATGTGGCCGCCATCTTTCTTTCCAGAGAGGAGATGGCGAATGGGGCAACACCCTTTCCCCTCCGGCAGACTTGATGGGCTGGATCAACGCATAGTCCGTTCACTTTTCTGCTCCAAGCTGCTGGGTTCTGCATTAAGTCCTTGTGCTTCTGGGGCCGTGGCTGTGCTGGAGAGCCGCTCGTGGGGGGGTGACTGGTGACCTCGGTAGGGCGTGAAGGACGGACTGGAACGCCCCCCTTCCCATGAGGTTTTAGTCACCCCCACACCCCCGGCTCATACCTGCTGTCCACAAGGCTCCCATGTGGCCGCCATCTTTCTTTCCAGAGGGAGGAGGGCGGAAGGGAGCAACACCCTTTCCCCTCTGGGCAGAAATGATTGCCTGGATTAACGCATAGTCCTTTCACTTTTCTGCTCCAAGCTGCTGGGTTCTGCATTAAGCCCTTGTGCTTCTGGGGCTGTGGCCGTGCTGGAGAGCCGCTCGTGGGGGGCAACTGGCGACCTCGGTAGGGCGTGAAGGTCGGACCGGAACGCCCCCCTTCCCATGAGGTCCTAGTCGCCCCCACACCCCCGGCTCATACCTGCTGTCCACAAGGCTCCCATGCAGCCGCCATCCTTCTTTCCAGAGAAGAGAGGGCGAATGGGGCAACACCCTTTCCCCTCTGGGCAGAAATGATGGCCTGGGTTAACTCATCGTCCGTTCACTTTTCTGCTCTAAGCTGCTGGGTTCTGCATTAAGTCCTTGTGTTTCTGGGGCTGTGGCTGTGCTCCAAACTTAACTCTGATTTTCAGGGAGAAAGGTTGGGTGGTTTACTTCCCATTGATCACTTTGTATATAGAGAGATGTTTTGAGAAAAAGTCCTCGTTCCCGCATACTCGAGCTGTGTTTGTAGAGGCTTCTGGTCACCGGGGTTCCATCTGGGGGAGGCGGGATGCGGCACCTACTCCATCTGGAACTTGCCGGTGATCTCGGCTCTTTTTGGAACCTGTTTTTTCCTTTTTTTTTTTTCCTCCGGGATCCCGCACCCTCCATGTGTTCCTTCTCTTATGCTGAACGCTTCAAAGATGGCCCCTTTGTGATTTTTTAATATATATTTAGTAATTCTTTGGAAACGTTATTCCAAACTGCATATACTTGATTATATTTAACATCATGACATTTGTTTTTAAGGAGATACTTAAAAGGCATTTGACAATAATACCATAGCCATGTGGAATATCTAATCTATATTATTTTTGTTTTCTTATTCCCATTTTATTAGCAGACAATTTATATCTTTACAAGCTACTATCTCTCCCCCAAATATTCTCTAAATAATCTTTTGAAGTATTCAATAATAGGTGTTTGCTGTAAAGACTAGCATACAAATTTCTACACTCATAATTAGTAGATAACTTTAAAACTGGAAATGAATGTTATTTTTGTATAGATTTAGTGATTAACCATAAAACAACTTTCTTTGTTCAGTAAAGAAGGGAGTACAATTAAGTAAATAGCCCTTTTTTGTTTTAAGATAAAATTTTAAAGTAAAATTTTTAAAATAAATCTTACCTATCAAGATTGTTAGATCAGTATGAAAGTTATATTTTGATTTTCTGAATACATCTGCTCCAAATACGACAGCATGTTAATAATATCCCATTGAAAATAAAAGGCACTTTTTTCTTTTTTATTAATTTTTTTAATGGAATCAGTGGTTACAAAGTTGTTCACAATTCTGCTTCAGTTAGAAAATGTTCCACAACCTATTCCTTCACCAGCGTACATTTCCCACTACCAGTGTCCCCAGTTTCCACCACCCCCCTCACCTGCCTCTTTGACAGGCACTTCTTTCTCTCTTCTTTCCCTCTCTCTCTCTCTCTCTCTCTCTCTCTCTCTCTCTCTCTCTCTCTCTCCCCCACCCCCTTTTTGGGGTGATACAGTTTGTAGTACAGATACTGAAAGGTTATCATGTGTATTCCTTTACCTACATTCAACACACACTTGTCTAGAGTAATCATTTCCAGCTCTTACTGTGATACTGGACCTTTCTCTATTCTAAATGCCCTCCACTTCCCACACTTGTGGTAGATTCCAGCCATTAATCAATCCTCCTGTCCCTCGTTTTCCTTGGCCTTGGATATTAGTCTCATACTTTTTTATATGTATACCACAAATAAATTCATTCTTTATCTGTCCCTCTCCTTTTGACTCATTTCACTCATCATGATACTCTCCATTTATTAGCAAATTTCATTACTTCATTTTTCCTAACAACTGTGTAGATGTACCGGTTTCTTTCTCAGGCACTCAGGTTATTTCCAGAATCTGGCTATTGGGAATAGTGCTGCATTGAACATTGAAGTGCAGATGGTGTTTCTGCTGTATGTTTTTGTTCCCCTGCGGTATATTCCCATAAGTGGTATTGCTGGGTCAAATGGGAGCTCAATTTCTAGTTTTTCAGGGAATAGCCATATGGTTTTTCAAAAAGGCTGGACCAGTTGGCATTTCCACCAACAGTGAATTAGAGTCTCTTTTTCCCTGCATCCACACCAGCACTGGTTGTTTTGTTCTTTTGGATGTGTGCCAGTCTCTGTAGTGTGAGATCTCTTTTTGTTTTGATTTGTATCTCCCTGATGATTAGTGATGTAGAGCATTTTTTTCATGTGCCTTTTGGTCATTGGAATTTTTGAATTTCTTTTTTGAGGAAGTTTCTGTTCATTTCTCTTTTTTTTTTATGAGGTTGGATATTTTTTCCTTTTAAAGTTCTGCCAATGCCATATATATCTTTGATATAAACCCTTTATCATATGGGTATTGGGTGAATATTTTTTTCCATTCTGTGGGCTGTCTTTGTATCTTAGACACCATTTCTTTTTGCAATGTAATCCCATTTGTTTCTTCAACAAGTGGTACTTGGGAAACTGGGTAAATAATGAACTCAGACCTCTGTCTAATGCCGTGCACAAAATCAGATCAACATGGATTAAAAACCTGAACATCAGACCTGAATCCATGAGGTTCATGGAAGAAAACATGGGCAAGACCCTCCATGACATTGAAGCTAAAGGCATCTATCTTCAAACACCACTGACCAAGCAAACAGAAACAAAGATAAACAAATGCGACTACATTAAATTTTTGTTTGTTTGTTTGTTTGTTTTTGAGGGGTAGTTTGTCTCCTGGTTATCTGGACTGTTAAATTTATTTTTCACTCTTTGTTATAGCTTCACTAAAATGACTGTGAAAGCATTAACTTTCTTGGTTTTGATTTTAAAGTTACTGCACCTTCACCATCATCAAAGTGTCCAAGATTCTGTATCTTGTATCTAATTTTTTCTTTAGCAAAACACTTGTTACTGAAATAAATTTACCTAAAAAAGTGTAAGAAGAGGGGAGTGGGTGAGGGAAGACGAAGGGCAAGAGGGAAAGAGGAAAAAAGAGAGAGAGATGTTTTTAAGAAAGAATGCAGGTTCTCCTGAGTGAAAAAAAATCTCCCTCAGATTTTTGTTGTTGTTGTTTTGTTTTGGGGCCACACTCAGCAATACTAGGGGCATACTTCTGGCTTTGTTCTGGGATCACCCCCGGTGGTACTCACAGGAACATATGGAATGCTGGGGATTAGACCCAGGTTGGCCAAGTGCCCTACCCACTATACTTTTTCTCTGGCCCCAAAGCCTCTATTAATGTCAGTAAAAACTATGACAGCATAAATTCGGTAGGAATCGCGCACTAAATATCTGTTTACAATAGAAGGCATATATAGGTGTACATGCATACATGTATACACATGCCAATTGAACTTAGATTTTAAGTTGTTAGCTGTTTTTTGTTTTATTTATTTTGTATTTGCTTTTGGACCTCACCCAACCATGCTCAGAGCTTACTTTCTCCTGGCTTTGCACTCAAGGATCGAACCCAGGTAAACTGCATGCAGGACAAACACCTCACCCACTATATTATCTCTCCAGCCACATCTGTTTTTAAAACTGTTTTTAAAAACAATTTTTTTCCCTTAAGTACTGATTTGAGAAGATAAAACAATTTTTCTCTTATTTACAATTTGGTATGTAGTGAGTTTTTATTTTTGCTTTCTCCTAGATTTTCAGCAGAATGAAACTCAGATCAAGAATCAAGTTAGTAAGAATGTACAAAGAGGATTTAAAAACATGAAACAGCAATCACAACTGCCTCTTCATCCTTCCTGGGAAGCAAGCAGGAAAAGAAAAGAACAACAGTCAAAAATTGCTGTGTTTCAGGGGAAAAAAATTACATTTGATGACTGATTAATCATTTTGTGAACTTCTCTGTCAAAAATTTAATTTTTCTACTGACCAGCCTATCATTTAATCATCTCATTATTTAAAATTCTGTTTGAGTAAGGTTTTTTTGAAGGTAATAAATATATTTTTAATAGTATGTTAAGCTATATTTATACAAACCTTCCTCTAATCAAGTACATTCAAAATTTATTTTTAATACAGTACCGCAGGATCTTCTCTAAAATAATTTTGAGATTATAGATATCATATTTTCTCATTTGTGCTTATGAAGTATATCCCACTTGTTCAGTGCTTTCTTTGCCTGGAAAAATACATCGTAAGGTATATTTAAAGTAATAATAATAAAAAGGTATGGGTAAGTGTAGCTGTTTTGAGCAGATCACTTTTGCTTTTAATTTTGAACAGATAAGACAGGAAAGATGAAAAAATATTTTTATGCCTACCAAGGTCTAGTCAAATTGCAAGGGTGAGGGTGCTCTCCTCCAGAGTCTGAAGTCTGCCATGACTTTTTATCCCACCAGCAAAGAGTTCAGGTCCACCGCAGTTACAAGGAAGAGTCCTCCCAAGAGCACCTTTGTCTTCTTGGCACCAATTGCAGGTTTGGCAGGGACATGGGGATGTGAAGTTGGGATCCCTAAGACCCCTCAGGTTTAAAAATTTGTTGAAAAATTTGGAGAAGTCACTAAAGACTTTTGGGCTGGAGCGATAGCAAAGCGGTAGGGCTTTTGCCTTGCACACGGCCAACATGGCCGACCCAAGTTCGATTCCTCCGCCCCTCTCGGAGAGCCCGGCAAGCTACCGAGAGTATCTCGCCTGCACGGCAGAGCCTGGCAAGCTCCCCGTGATGTATTCGATATGCCAAACACAGTAACAACAAAATCTCCAATGGAGACGTTACTGGGCCCACTCGAGCAAATCGATGATCAACGGGAGGGCCTTTACCTTTACCTTTACCACTAAAGACTTTTATATTTATAGTTATTGTTTATTATAAAGAAAAAGATATACATTATAATGGGCCAAAGAAAGAGATGCATCGGCCCAGATCTGTGAGGGGTCTGAAGGCAAAAGTTCACATTACCATCAGTATATATACACAGAGTATCACCAGTCTGAAAAACTCACTCAAGTTTTCTTCTCCACAACCGAACTGGGGAAACTTCATATAGATGTGATTAATAAATGTATCTCCCATATATTGATGATAGTTTGATGCCACGTCACCCAAAGTCACCATCCCAATTTGCAAGACTAATTATTTTTTTTATAGTCATCTCCTGCCCTAAACAGAGTTTCTTCTATCAGTTGCTCCAAGAAGCTAAGGACAGGGACCAGTCACAGTACAGTAGTTAGCAAATACACCCAGCTTGGGTTTGATTCCCAGTACCACATGTTCCCCCAAACACTGTGGAGGTGGCCCTGGTTTTCCTGAAATCAGAGGGCTCGAGTAGCATCATTTTCTTGGCCCTTGATTTGAACTGCTGACCTGACTGCCTGAGAATCACCAATGAGGCTCCCTAGCCTACTAGGCACCACTTGGGAGCCCCCAGACCTTGCGCCTCCCAGAAAAGGGAGGGGAAGAAGCTAAGGGCAAAAAAATTATTTGGTCAAGGTCCTGTTCTTTACTGCATAGTACCCGTCACCCAGATCCCCTAAACATTATTTCACTGCTTTGACTGTGGTTGGGATTCATTCTTCCTCCCCTCTCTCGTTCTTCCTCTTCTTCCCTTCTGTCTCCCTCCCTTCTTTTCGCTCCAGTCTCTTTTCTCCCCCATTTTTTCTCTTCTCCCGTCTGCATTCCATAGTTTCTCTATCTTTTATAATACAATAGTACAGTTATCAGATATTCATGTTTCTGTTTGACCCCATGGGTACTGGTATTATATTTACCTATAAATATATATTATATTTACCTATTACCAATTGTAGGTAATAGCAGTAGGTAATCTAGGGCCATGTCTTACATTCCTTGGTCACATTACCTTCAGTTATTTTGTCATAATGGAGAAAGAGATGCTTTTATATTTTATGACTTTGACACTTTTCAAAAACGTAAGCCAGTTTATGTTCCATTGTTCTTTTATTTGAATTCAAATAATATTCCCATTATTTAACTGGATCTGGGCCCGCTTGAGCAACTCGATGAACAACAGGACAGTGCTACAGTTAGACCCCTGGGTCAAGAAAGTAACAAAAGGAATGTTATATTCATCTCTGATGTCCATGTAGCCTAGCACTGGATATTAACTTTGCTTGCTTATTGCATGCAAGTGGTTCTCGGGTGGAAACTACTCTATTTTTCTCTTTGTGTCAAGTAATTAATCTCTCAGGGAGATGATTTGAAACTATATATATTCTAGTCTAAAACTGATTTTAACTTTCATGATTATTAGTAAAACTGTTATTGCTGCCATAGTTGTAAATGGTAATTTTGAAAAAGTTTCATCTTGTGTCTATATTTATTGCCAGCTCTCTGTTAAGAGCATTTCTTTCTCCTTGTTTATTCCTTTTGTACAGTGTTTTCAGTATGATCTCATTCTCTTTTAATATATTTTTATATTTTTTTCATTACTATAGATTCATTTTATCTGTTACTGACTCAGTATTTACCACACACATCTTTATTATATCGCAGTCTAATTTCAGCAGTATTATATATATCACTTTACATATAGCTTGTCATTGATTTTTAATCTTTACCCTTGAACAACAAAACCTGTCATATATATACATATATATCACTTTACATATAGCTTAAGTCATTGATTTTCAATCTTTACCCTTGAACAACGAAACCTGTCCTTGGACTCTGAGCTGAAAACAACTGGTTTAAGGATTTATTTTCTTTTCCCACTTCCCAGTCTTCATACTTTTACTGTTTCCATTAATTTTACTCCTTACCTGTTCATGCTTTTCTCTGCTTCCTTGAAGATAGAAATATTTCTAGCTATTTTAATTATCTACAGTGTTCTCAAATTGTTGAAAATTTTCTCCTAGGTGACATTTGGCAGCAATCTGAGATAATTTGGGTGTTGACAATTGGGAGAAGATGTTACTTTTCTAGTGGCTATAGTCCATGGGTACTGGTATTATACTTAATACCAATATATGTTATGCTGGTATTATATTTAACAAATGTCAACAAGTACTTAGGTTGAGAAATCTTAATTTGGGATTCACTTGGTCCCAGTAAGGCATTGCCTTTCTAAGAACTCCACTTAATGTTTTGCCTGTTAGGAAGTCTTTGAGTTTTGTCTGGTGAAAACACAAACTAGACCTGGTCTTGTGAGTGCCTGGAATTATTCTTACCCCTTCTTGATAGTTTTTTCTGTTGGCATTTATGGATTCTTTACCGACACAAGAGATGTTGATATATTTCTGGACTGTATATTTCTGTTGATATATATATATGACTATATTTCTGTTGATATATTTTTGGACTGTATATTTCTATACACTTTGCCTCACCAGGTCTTAGCACACTACTCTGACTGTGAATGCTGTCTCTTTTCTTGGAACACTATTCTAGGGTTTCTTACCTGTGCACTACATAATCCTTTGGAAACGCTTGAGACAGGGAATTGGTGAACTTAAAGGACTCACATGTTTTCCTTCTCTTACTACTAGCTTGCGTAGCAATTTTTTCATTGCATAAAAAGCATCATTTTGCACTTTTGACTAGTGGGAGCTTCCTCAAGCTATCACTGGTGTCTTGTTGACATGTAAATCTTGTTGATATGTAAGGTCTTGAGTTCTCACAGATGATTTCTGTTATCCACAATTTACTCAATCCTAGAGATACACAGAAGTTTCAGAACTGCCAAATGATTCCTCTACAAAACAATTCCACTAAACAAAGTTCAGTATATGTTTGGACTTCTTTTTACTTCAGCCTCAGGAATACATGGTCTCAAAAACTGAGTTTGAAACTTAGTTGGGGTGAAGACGGCAAAATAGCGGAGTAAGAGTATCCAGATATTCTTTTCATAAAAAATAAGAAAACTCTAAATTGTCACAGGTCAGTGAAGAATGGTGATCTTTAGGAATCCTCATTTCCTAGTTTTGCCTCCTCCTTCCCAAGAACCAGCATACCTGGTAGCCACTGGATAGGACAAGCAGGGTTGTCAATTGTTCAAAATGCAACCCTGGAGAGTTGAGAATTTTCATTTTTTGACCAGTTTGATAGTTCACTGGAAGTTTCACACACAGCTCCACCCCACCCCAACCGAATCTACTCAAACACATTTTGACTAGGAGCTTTTCCGAGATCACTTTTTAAAGAAAATTAGAAACAATTGTTTGGCATTACTTCTGCGTGGGGTTGCAGCAAAAGTAAGTTAGGCAGAAATATTAAAATCTGGAGAATTTAGCATCCTTAGGACTTTGATAAACTGATAAAGTTCTTGGAATTACGAGAATACTAGGCATGCACAAGCTTTTGTAAATTCAGGAGAGACCCAAGAAGGTCCTAAATTCATTGCAGGGGTTGAAAAGTAATTAATAGAAACTAAAAAATCCATCAGATTGGTCCAGCAACAGATTGAAACAAGCAGAAGAAAGATTTGGTAAGCCTGAAGAAAGGTCAATCAAAAATATCTAGTATGAGGAACAAACAAACAAAAAGCAAGTGAGCAAGCCCAAGTGAGGAGACCTTCAACACTTGAGGTACAAGAAAGTGTGTGGGCCTAAAGAGAGACTCGTGACTCAGCATTTCCACTCATAGTTGAACACCACAAGAGAAATAAAAACGTGCGAACGAAAATGTGAAAATTCAGTATAACTGTAATTTAAAAGCAGAAAGAACCCAAATTTCGTCAGATGAGGACTGGATAAACTATAGTCATCTTGGAAAAGTAGAAAGCAATTGATCTTTAAATTGCAGAGGCTAGGGAATAATCTCCCTTCAGCCCCCTGTTCCCATGTAGTTTTTCCCCTCCCTTTCCCTTTGTTGTTGCTACTGATATTGCTGTATCGGGGTACACGTCTGATTGTGTTATTTTCACACACATTTTATTCCTCTGCAGGGCACACTAGGTTTCAGTAAGCCAAGGTTT